ATTCAAAAAAGTTACCCCGTTTAAAAAAAGAGACAAACACTTTTTTGACAACATTGAAAAAGTGACAATGCCTTCCACCTCCTTCTCCTTCAACACGTACAAAATGGCTGTAAACTTTGTGTGTGGAGTGATAGTCCTAGGATTAGACAAAAAGCATCCCCTTATGGATATCAACCTTTTGAGTGCCTCTCAAGTATCAGCAACAAACCCACATTGTCCCCAACCAGTCTCAACACCAGTCACAGACTCACGGTAATATTCCTAATCTCGCTTAATTTGACAGTATCCTTTTTTTAATTTATTAAAAAGATTTGCATATATTGAAATCTTTGAAATGTTGGCATGACTTAACAGGAAAGCAACAATTTTCTTCAAAAGACACTGAAACTCAAAATCCTGATTGTTTGCAAGCTGGTATACAGCAACAAAAGGATCAATAGTTATTTATTACATGCCAAATTTAACTAACATATCACAAGGAAATAGAAAGATGCATGTTTAACTAGCCAAAATCCCTTGAATCTAATAGTAAGAAGAACTGGGGGTTTAGAATCAGATGGTTTTTTTGGGTGAAGCGTAATCGGGAGGTGAGTAAAAGAGGATGACGATCATGGCTCCAGGAAGAATGCCGTATTGCGCCACCTTTGCTAGCTTTGTAACCAGCGGCTCTTCCTTCAATGCGCCCATCTTCAAATTCTTCCTTTCTACTCTTAGAATCCAACTATATCTACAATCTCCCAAATCCTAATCGTTCAAATCTAGGGATGAAATGAAAAGAAGATAATGAAGCCGAACGCATATGAAGGGAAGAAGAAAAAGAAATTGACAGAACGTAGATCGGAAACGAAAATTAAAAGTTGGAATCTGTCACCTTGTTGGAGAAGGACGCTGAGATTTCTACGAAATGAGGAGTCTGAATATGGCGGGTTAAGTTTGGGCTTGTTAACTGGGTTGTGGTTTTTGTACGTAACTTTTGCTACCTTTTAACATGTTTAGTTAATTAAAGAGTATTAATCAAAACAATTAAAAAATGAAGGTACAGGGCCTAATTTTCTCTTTCTTTAAAGGCCATTAGCCTTCAAAGATAGGTCATAGTTGATGAACATCCATCAGCCATTCAAAGTATAAATTTTAATGTTTTTCATATTAACATGAACCTAATACCATTAATCATTGGATCCAATCATTTAAATTGGATTGGCCGTAAATTATTAGCTACTGGCCTGTGGATCGGCCCACTTGGCTTATGGGCCAGTCCACGGGTCACTTTAACCTGGTGGGCCTTGTTAGGACACTTTTATTGGGCAGGTCATGTCAGGACCATTTAATTTGGTATAATTAAGAAAAGAGGAAATTACAGAAAACTAGGTGTTTAAAAACCACAATTCTAAAACCAGGTACAAAGTTTAATAATGCATAAATCAGGTTTCTATCAAAAATTTAAATCCCCCCATCCATCCCCTCACTCTCTATCTTATTTTGTCTCTCACATCTCTCTGCTCTCTCACCATCTACGTCTCCATCATCGGAGACCACCTTAGGCCTTCTCTCTGTCGGCGTGGGAAAAACTGAGCGCCACTTGCCTCGCCTCGCTGCGACGAGCGTAGGTACTACAACGGGTTTCGGTGTTGCAACTGCTGCAAAATATGAGCGCCGCGACGAGCTTCAGTGCGTCGATTTGAGGAGTTGATGGTTGCGGCGGCGGCGTGGTGGTGTCCGGAGCTCATCGTTGGGAAAAGCCACTGCTTCGCGCAATTCTAGCGTTGGCGCCTCTACGTTTGAATTCATGGTTTCACCGGTACACACAGATCGCAGCGATTTCTTGTTTCCCTGGCCACTTTATGTGAATGTGGTGACGGTGATGACGTGCTCCGATATGCATCTTCGTGATGCCGTTGCGTCGCCTCCATGCCCACCTTGTAGATCTGAAAGCAACGTCGATCTGAGATTCAGAGCAACACCATTTGAGAGGCGTTGATGGATTCAGATGGTGTGATCTTGTGGTGGTGATTTTGTTGTCGTTGTGGTTGGTGTTTGAGATGTGGTTGGTTGGTTGGTGGTTGTTGTGGTTTGTGGTGGCGTGTTTTTTGCGTGTTGTGGTGTGTGATGGTTGCGGTTAGTGTTGTCTGCTGTGGCGTGGTTGGTGTTTGAGGTGTGGTTGGTGGTTGTTGTGGTTTGTGGTGGCGTGTTTTTTGCGTGTTGTGGTGTGTGATGGTTGCGGTTAGTGTTGTCTGCTGTGGCGTGGTTGGTGTTTGAGGTGTGGTTGGTGGTTGTTGTGGTTTGTGGTTGCATGGTTTTTGTGTTGCTACGGCGTATAATGGTTGCGATTAGTGTTCTGGTTGCTGTGGTATGTGGCGGTGGCAGTGGCAGTCGTGGCTATGATGTTGTGGTTGTGGGTGGGATGGGAAAGGGGTGTTTGTGACCAATTATATTTGGTTGATTGTGATGATGGTTGTGGTGGTGTTTTGGCGAGGACAGATCTATGATTGGTGGTGTGGATCAGGCTAGTGGTGGTCCTTTTTGTTATTGCTGTTGTTGGTGGTTGTGACCAAGTATTGTGGTGGAATGGGATCTAGATTGGGTGTGGTATTATGGTGGTGTGGTGGTTGCGGTGGCGTAGTGCAAGCGTCGATTGGGTGGTGGTGATTTGTAGCCAAGATTGGTGTTGGATTGGGGCCGGTGTAGTGGGGTGTTTGGAATTCGTGACCAATTATTTGGAATCTGTAACAAATTATTTCGTTGATTTGTGACAAAAAATTAGGTGTTTGTGAGTAAAAAATAAATTATGACCTATGTGACCCATAGATAAAATATGATCTGTAATTTGAATGATCCGTGACTTAAAAATAAATCAGTGACCTACAAAAATTTTGATATGTGACATCAAAATAATATATGACCTGTTAATTTGATGATATGTGACCAGTGAATAAATTTGTGATCGATGATTATGAATTTGTGACCATTTATGTGACTTGTAATTTAAATTATCTGTGACCTCGAAATATTTGATTTGTGACCACAAAATAATTTGTGACCAATTAATTTGACGATATGTGACCAGTAAATAAATTTGTGACATATAATTATGAATCTGTGACCATTAATCGTGTAACTGTGAATTTATTATCTTTATTTAATGAATATTTTTAATTAATTAAATACAAACATGATTTTTGAATTTTAAAACAATTTACCTCATTTTTGAATTTTAAAACATAACACCTGAGATGTGAATTTTTCCCTTAAGAAATTATGTGATTAAAAATGAATTTGAGAGATGAAAATTTTTAAATAACAGAGTCAACAGGGTCCAAAATACCTACTACTGTCATTAATTTCAAATTAGGTTGTGAAATGTGATTTCTTTAATTGATTGGATTTGTTTTTATCTTGACAATGATGTAGATTGAAGCTTTCTTTTGACTCCATCCATCCATTCAGAATATGACCACCCTTTTCAATTATTTAGGTAGAAAAAAAAAAAGGCTAAAACAAACTCACTACATCACCTCACCTTAAAAAGTAGTCATTTTTCGACGTCTATCTTTATAAATGTTTCAAATTTATTAAAAATAAGACTAATTTTGAATACTTTAAGGTTTAATTCTTAAATACCTATGATTAATTCATGACTTTAGGATATCACATAATCATCACTCTTTCAACCATATAATTATGAGTGGTCTCGCATGGTCTTTGAAGAAATTTGTCAATTAGCTAAAGAAAAAATGTTAATCTTATCTTTTAAAAGTTTAAGTGCCTCAACATGTTCTTTAATTCATTTATCCTTTTTCTCTATCAAAAGTCTCAAACGGTCTAATTACTTTACAAATTATGACTAGTTACGTCTAAGTCCAATTTATGAAACTTGCTTCGGAAGCTTGGTTTAACACCATACGCCAGAAAAAAACAACCGTTAGAGATAAAGTAAATTCTACCTGTGAGAAAAGAATTCAAAAATGATGACTGTAACAGTGAAATAACAGTTAAAAAATTGATTTTAATTAGCTTAAAATCTAAACCAAACAAGCTCTAAATCCAAGAATTGTTAAGCATATTTTGATCTTGTTTCGTAAGATGGATTGTAAAGAAATAGAAGCTAATTCAAAAATGAGAGAGAGCAAAAAAGCATCTTCGGGTCGGATCAGTATGGTTGCTGCCTAAATCTACTATTCACCCATTGGTTGATTGGTCCGTCGTTTACCATTTGAGTCCGGCCGAAGAAAGAAAGCTTGAGAAAGAAAATTCAGTAGTGTGTTATCACATATTAAAGATTGATTGATTGATCACCTTTACTGCTTTTTTGAAAAATTGACATGTATACACATCTTTTTCGTATGAAAAACTTTGAATTTAAGTGATATCAAATGATATGTCAACAACTTGCTTTAAAGGGTGTCCCCATTTGTCTTCAAGCTGGGCAACAACACATCCACCGATCATCACGCCCACCTACCAATTCTTATCAATTTCTTCATAATTAACTAATAAATATCTAAAAAAAAAAAAAATTGAAAGTGGAGATTGGATGAGATAATTAAACTATTTTTAGTTCTTTTTGGTTATAAAAAACTAAAGAAAACTTCTCCGAAAAGATAAAAGTGTTTGTAAGTTGCAAGAACATATTTTCCGTCCAAACATTTTTCGAATTTTCCGAAAAATAATGTATTACATATTGTTCCTTAACACCCAATTTTTCCTTTATGCATTTTAAGAAGGTTGCTTTATTCCATAGAAATAACTGGTCTTTAAACCTCAATTATTCTTTAGGTTAATCAGTTAAAAAAAAATTGTTATGTGACCTTTCCTTATACTTTAAGGTTCTTTCGAGGTCAAGTTTGTTTGAAAACTAAATCAAAGAAATTATCCCTACTATTTATCAGCAAGTTTGAACACATTTACAATGGAAATCCTTCTTTTGGGTGTATAAATTCTATATATTCTTTTGTGAACAAGAAGTAATAACAATAAGTAAAAGGAACATCTACTTTTGCTTTGGACGAGGTTACTAACATCATTTGCCTGATTCGTGGATTGCGACAAAATTTATCAAAAAGCCGGTTTTTCGCAGCAATTTCTTCAAGCAGTAAAACGTCAAAAATATCATTTTTTCAGTAAATCATGTAAAGAAAATAGGCAACCACAGTAAAAGGTGATGAAAGTCTACGAGTTTACATGTTCCCTTCATCAATCAAGAGGCCCCATTTTTCGCTTCTTCTAATGGAACACAATGGCTCAAAGCAACAGCCTCAAGATGTGGCGGCCTTGTTGAGCCCAAACATAGCACAGGCCAAGCTGGAACAGGTGAAGGATGATAGTAAAAAGAGGCAATTAGCCCCCAAAAGAAGCTCTAACAAAGATAGGCATAAGAAAGTTGAAGGGAGAGGTAGAAGAATTAGGATACCAGCTTTATCTGCAGCTAGAATTTTTCAGTTGACAAAAGAGTTGGGTCATAAAACTGACGGAGAGACAATTCAGTGGCTTTTACAGCAGGCCGAGGGATCAATTATTGCTGCAACAGGTACCGGGACAATCCCGGCATCCACTATTACGGCTGCAGGGAGCTCTGTTTCAGAACAGGGGAGCTCTGTGTCGTCCGGTGTCTATGCAAAATTCAATGAGATCGGGGCACGAATCGGAATGAGGAATCACTTGGCTATGATCGGTGAAGATTTTGGTAGATCCCATATTCCATCCGGGGTGTGGCCTTCTTTCGGTGGTTTCGGATCTGAAATTCTGCAGAATTCTAATGTTTTAAGCTCGAACCGCATGCCTAAACTCGGTTATCATGGGTTAGAATTCCCCAATTCATTGGATATCAGTAACCATGTGCCAGGTCTAGAGCTTGGTCTTTCTCAGGAGGGTCCTATTGGAGGTCTGAATCTTCAAGCTTTGAACCAGCTTTACCAGCAAATTGGACAGAATGGAGATCCCACTAAGGATAATTCTCAAGGATCAAGGCAGTAGAGTCTCACTATTATCAGGACTATATGTAAGGTAGCATCTTTTAAGGTTTGTTTTTGAAAGTATCAATGTTCTGAATTATATCGTTCTTGTGAATCCAATTCACGCCAAATGGATTAGAATTGGCTGCAAGAACCGTTGGTGGTTTTTGCTGCGTAGCTAAATCAAATGTCCACAAGGAGGTACGATATTTTTTTACTCGAATTAGATCTACAATTCTGCGATTTTCTCAGTTTTTGTTAACACCCTTTTTTGGTTGTCACTTGCAGTTTGGACTACACGTTTAGCAGCAAGGTGCGATGAGTTTGGTTGTCAACACCTTTTTCGTTTCTGGTTTTTCTTAAACAATTTTGATGAATGCTGGCCAAACATATTGGCTTTGTACTTAAATACAATGAGTTTTAGTTGTTTGCTTGTATGTTGAAACTAGGAAGTTTCTCAAGCATACTTTGTAACAGTTTCTGATACCTATGAATATATATGTCAGTTGGGATACCCGACTTTCTTTCGCAATACTCTCAGGCTTAAGTTTCACATTCATTCGTGTAAAGCATATGACCTGTCTCCCGGTCTGGTCTTCTCTTGGAAAAATGGTTCACCTCTGGAGGAGGGAATTTGATTTGAGTTTTCCCTGCAAAGGATGCAAATTATCAAGTTTTTGGTTAAGTTGTCTTGTGATACAAATTGGAGTCCCGCGTGAATGTTCATTATAAGAATGCATACATCCTTTTTTGGTAATTCCATAATTGGCATAACCATTGAGTTTTCAAATTAGTTTCATGCCAAACAATTAACCTTTTTAGAGCAGTAAAATCCCACTTCTCAAACCACTTAGACGACACACTCTGGGAGAATTACTGACGGTGGTATATAGCATGAGAAAAACTTCTTCCGTCAATGGGCTTCATGTGACCTAAGCTTAAATGACTTTGGACTTGTATGTTCTAGCAGAATAGAAGTAATTTTGCAAAGCCCCAAATTGATCTTGTGACCCATTTTAGATATACATATCATTAAGAGTGTATGTTCAATTTGAATTTTTTAAAGAGATTTAGAGATTTTCTTTTAAGTAAGCCCTTGTTTAGGTCCCATCTTGAGGGGAAAAAATGTATTTCGGAATAGTATTTTTCAGAGAATGTGTGATTTAAAAATAAGAAAAAAAATTCAATTTACGTATAAAATTATTTTGTTGTGGAATGTGTATTTGAAAATGAGTTTTTTATTATTATTATTTTTTAAAATTTGATAAAATGGGGCTCAAACGAAGGCTAAATTATTTTTGTATAGTTTAATGAACTTTTGTTGTCTTTTATAGACTTCCACATGATCAATAAAAGTCTTCATAGATTTCTATGAACTATTATAAAAAGATTTTTGTGGAATTCAATTGACTGCTCATACTTTCATTTAAAAAAAAAAGAAATATATTGTTTATAACTTATTGCGTATTCTTTTGAATTTCTACTTGTATGATCAAATGATCTACAACAAATGGTAACAAAATTACGTTTCTCATGTCAATAATATATATATTTTAAAAAAATATGGAAAATATAAATAACTCATATGCAGCGGAAACTTGAAACCTTTGAAACATTAATAGACTTCTCCTAAACATTTTATTTGTTGCAGCCGTCACCTCTAATGTTTCCAACCATTGTAGATGAGGCCCCAAATGGACAATTTCCTGTTAGGAAAACCCACGATTTTCCTAATTGGTAACATATTTTAATTCAATTATATTTGCTATTTAATTTAATATAATGTATTGAAATTAAGTGGTTTAATTTGGTATGCCCATAGACTACTCAAATTGATATGGGATAATTGAGTAGATATCGGCGATATTGCTCTAATTGGGGGATAATGGGAATCCTAATTAAACAATATATAAAGATCATTTTGGTTATGGTCTCCAATATACTAAAATCACACATAGTTTCCTTTCTCCCCATCGAGAAGAGAAACACAAAAGTCTCATTGAGGAATAAGGCAATTTGGTTGAGGAAGATCACAAACCACTCCCTTTCTTTCACGTTCATCAGTACGCGGTCGATTGTCGCAGTAATTCTGCAACAGTAGACAATCGTTAATAATGGATACATGTATATAATCTGAATTCGTCAATCCTAATATTTTGGCATGATGTTGATCCTAGGATTTCAGTTATTTTGATCTAGGCTGTTTGCATCTAGATTTGGTTTCAATTTTGGATATGATTTGAATTTCTAACAAGTGGTATCAAAGCAGTCATCATTGTTAGATTATTAGGATTTGTACATATTCTATTCGTATGGTGTTTGGATTTTTTTTTTCCGAATAGAATATTTGGATTTTGTGAAATTCCTTGAACTATTTAGTTTAAGAATTATTGAGGTTATTTTTAATCAATTTAAGATTCAAGAATATATAGATTGGATTTTGACCTATGATATAATGATTGTTGGTTGTTCTTGATGGATGATGGATGCAGAATCGGGTTTCTTCTGATCATTTTCTATGTGGCTATAGTATTGAACAATATATGACAACATGGGCGTTTTTTTTTTTTAAAGTGTGCACTAGCTTTTGTATGGCAGCAAATTTTTTTTTTTTTACATGTAAATTAGTAGTAATCTGCCACCTTTCATAATGGATCCAAAATTTCAATTGCATAAAGATTTAGCCTCAATTGTTGACCTTTATTGTTATCTTGCAATGGATCCAGATTCTGGCAGTTTTAGAATTTTTGGTTGATTTTCAGAGCCTGTTTGGGAGTGATTTTAAGAATTGATTTTTTGACCGTTAGGAGAAAAGTGGGGTCCATCTGTGAGAGAAGAAGTCAAATATAACGGCTGAAATAGTGAAATAACGGTCAAAAAATCAATTTTTTGGGTGAAAAAATCTGGCCCAAACAGGCCCTCATTTGCATTTTGCGCAACTACCTATTTTTGACTTTCTTCCTTCGGTAGATTTTTGGGCTATATTGCATTTTGGATTAGCCACTTTATTTGATCTTTTATTTTTTCTATAATGGATCCAGAACATGTGTTGTCAAAATAATAATAATAATAATATTCAGCTACCTATTTTTGACTTTCTTCCTTCGGTAGATTTTTGGGCTATATTGCATTTTGGATTAGCCACTTTATTTGATCTTTTATTTTTTCTATAATGGATCCAGAACATGTGCTGGCAAAATAATAATAATAATAATAATAATAATAATAATAATAATAATAATAATAAATGAAAAGGATTCAGTTTGTTAAACCCATTTCTGAATTCAATTTTTTTTTAAGGTTTAAAATAAATTCAAACTTTGGTTTTGATTATTCCTTTTGGATGTCTAGTATATTCAATCGAATTGATTAAAACAACATGTAGACAAAGTAACCCCTGTTGTGTAAATTAATTTTATTGAAAATACATAGATGTTTTGTGCGAAGTCAATTATGCGAGCTGTACTCGGCCCAAAGGAAGGCACAGTTTGGCCAAACTACAACGCGCCTACGATGATAGATGTGTACCAATTATAAAGACTTTTCATGCGAACAATAGTAAGTCCAAAGAAAGGCCATTGTTTGACAGAACTAATTGTCAATATTTGATCATTGAACTAAGAGTACAACTTACATTTAATTTCTCTGTGCAAAGACTAGGAATTAATATTGTATTAGGTATCTTGAGATGGATCCCCAAATCTGGATTATTTGTGTATGTCTTATTTTTCTTATTTGACATGCTTGTTTATTTTGTTCTCTATACAGTTTCTATTGCAAATACTGCGAATGTCTCTGCTCAAGTTAACAACATCCTAATGCTGAGCGGGACGAACTTTAAGTTTTGGAAAGCAGCCGTGGAAATTGTCCTCGACTGTATGGATTTGGATCTTGCACTTCGTTTGGATCGACCGACTTTTACACCGAAAAACCCCAATGAGGGTAAAATTGAAAGGTGGGATTGCTCTGACCGACTGTGCTTGATGATCATGAAACGTTCCATTCCAGAAGCATTTTGAGGCTCTATTATTGAGAGCGAGAGTGCCAAGAAGTTTCTTGAGGAAATTGAGCAATATTTTGCCAAGAATGAAAAAGCAGAGGCAAGTAACCCTTTGGCTAAACTCGTTTTGATGAAGTATAATGGCAAAGGGAACATAAGGGAGTATATCATGGAGATGTCTCATCTCGCACCAAAACTAAAGTCGCTTAAGTTGGAGCTATCTGATGACTTGCTCATGCACTTGGTTTTGATCTCTCTTCCTGCGCACTTTGGGCAATTCAAGGTGAGTTATAACACTTAGAAGGACAAATGGTCCCTTATCTCACTGTGTGTAAGAAGAAGAGAGGCAACGACATGATAAGATTGAGAGTGCTCTCTTGGCCTCAACCTCTCAGAACAAGAAAACGAAGAGAGCTAAGGATGTTGCGAAAGGACCTTCTCAGTAGAAAAAGCAAAAGAAGTAGGATAAGGAGTTTACGTGCTACTTCTGCAAGAAGTCGGGACACATGAAGATGAGTGTTCCAAGTACGCTGCGTGGCGTGTAAAGAAGGGTATGCTTCTTACTTTAGTTTGTTCTTAAGTTAATTTGGCTTTTGTACTTAAGGATACTTGGTGGGTAGATTCTGGTGCTACTACTCACATTAGTATGTCTACGCAAAGTTGCATGTGGAGCCGATCGCCAAGTGATGCAGAAAGATTCATCTTTATAGGCGATGGCAATAAAGTTGCGGTAAAGGTTATAGGGACTTTCATATTATAATTAAAAATTGGGTTTTATTTGGATTTGTTTGAGACATTTGTTGCACCGTCCTTTAGACGGAATTTAATTTCTATTTCTAGCTTGGACAAATCAGGATTTTGTTGTTCATTTGGAAATAACAAAAGTTGGTCTCTATCAAAATTCAAATTTTGTTGGTTTCGGTTATATGATTGATAATTTGTATATACTTGATATAGTTAGTTCCTATAATGAAATACTGCAAACAAGTTCACATGGTACAAAGCAAAAATTAAGCGAGAATTTCGCCACTTTATGGCACAAGCGTTCATGTTATATCTCTAAGTAGAGAATTCAGAGGCTTGTGTCGGATGGAATTCTTAAACCCTTAGATTTAACAAACTTCGAAGTCTGTGTTGAGTACATCAAGAGGAAAAGAACAAACATGAGGAATTTAGGTGTCGAGAGAGCAAAGACGTCTTAGAACTAATATATACTAATATTTGTCGCCCATTCCCTACGGTTTCTTGGAATGGACATCAGTACTTCATTACATTCATAGATGATTACTCTAGATTCAGTTACCTGTATCTAATTCAAAAGTCACAATTCCTGGGCGTTTTCAAGTCTTTCAAAGCTGAAGTTGAACTTGTCGGGTTGCAGGAATCGGTCGGGTCAGATTGAGGCTACAAGATGGGACAGTAATGACACTTGATTAGGTTCGCCATGTTCTAGACTTGATGCAAAAGGGTATAAATTTTTTGGTGGAGGTGGAATCTTGAAGGTTCGAAGGGGTGTCCAGGTAGTACTGAAGGG